GTCATGCCTTCTTGAAGGGGACGTACTCTCACTTAGTTTGGACTTTGTTTCAGTTTGCACATTCTCCCTTTTGCGTTGGTTGTCATGGTTATTGATTTGATTTTGTCCTTTAGTTCAGGTGTGTGTTGTTAATTATCCTCATTTGCTTGTATACTTAAAGTCCCCCTGTAGTGAAAATCAAGTTTTTTTATGTTGTTTATTTGTCTATGTGGTGTTTTTAATATGCTTTTAGACAAACCATGTGCCAATCTATTAATCAACCCCATTGCTGTGTATTTTCTCCTTAAAACTGTAGTTTCCCAAAGGCTGACCCAGAAATATGGCTTGAAACAGCCCTTGGTTTGCTACGTTACAAACCAATAACCAATCACATCAAGGGATCGATTCCTATCACTAGCATGCAAAATATACCAATACCAGCACATCCGTTTCTGTTCATTGTTGTTGGGTCTTGTTTGTGTCTAGAGGTCTTGTAGCCGTTTTCTCTATGTGGATTACTTGCCTGTGGATTTTTTAAAGATTGCCTTTCACTTTCATCATCATGTGTGTGTTGCAACACACCTGTGACAGTTCCCATTTAATATAAAAAAAAAAAAATATATATATATATACAGTGGGGAAAAAAGTATTTGTGTATGTGTATGTTAGACCAGTTTATGTGTTTATGTAGTATGTTGGACTAGTTTAAGTGTTTATGTAGTTAATAAAACCTTACTTGTATCACACTTGACATGTTCATTGTTTGCTCATAACCGGAGTCACTAATCATGCAGATTTACGCTACAAGCTTTGTAGAATTGTACAGTAAGAAAGTTATTTCCCTTAACCAGGAAATTAACGTTCTTAGAATTGACAAGACAGTTGACCCTGAGAGGTCAGCTAAATATCTACAGCGGATCTAAAATATGAATAGTTAATTATAACTAGTTATGGTTAATTATTCATATTTCACATGAGCTGATTCGTTACATATATATAAATGAATTAGTGAGGCAAATAAAAAAAAAATACTATATGTGCCTCCAAAACTGCTTGACAAAAACGTGAGCAATATTGCATGTGTTGTTTGGGGGAAAATATTTTTACTGGCCTGGGTCGAACAGCCTTCAGATTTTTTTTTAAATTTATTTATTTAATAATTTTTTGCTTTGGTGTAGAAAATGGGGGGAGGAGGGTTGCACATTTTTAGCCCTGATAAGTTTGAATCCCTCCAAGCACAAGCAAGTTACTGGGCTTTTGGCATAATCTGCTAATGCAGACGAGCAAGTTATGTCTTGCAAAGTGCAGTTAAAAATGATATGAGAAACAACTGAAGGTGTGAGCAAATTACATCATCCAGATATAATATAATGAATACAGAAGCTAAGTTATTGACTTGCATAAAGTTTCCTGTAAGGATTAGTGTTATGCCGAGTTCACACTGCATGATTTTCAAACTCGTCGGATCGCCGTTGTTTTCACACTGCGTGACTATCTGGGATAGCATTCAGTTGCTGCTGTGTTCACACTGCACAATGGATCGGCGACAGGGTTTCACATTGCATGACTTCACAATAGGAAGAATCGCAGACAGCTCTGTCTGGTGCAGGGTTGCCAGGTTTTCGCTACAAAACCCGCCCAATTACTACTCAAAACTAGCCTGAAAATAGCCCAATTGCTTTCAAGGGGGTCCCCCAGTAAAAATCGCGTTGGGGTAAAATACACATTTTTTTGGTGGGGTTCTCCTGGTGCGATTCACATTCCAGGGACTAAATATCAGTTATTGGGGTCGCTTCAACCTGCTGACATAAAAAAACAACCGGCGGCAATCGCGGATTTGGCAACACTGGTCTGCAAACTACGTTTCATATAACTCCTCCCCGAACTTCCCTCTGCCCTGTATCTTGGTCTCTCATTGGCTGTAGGTCATTGCCTATGTGTTTTTCAGTCAGAACTCATTTCACACAGCGTGATTGTGAATCGCAGACAGCTCCAGATATTTAGCATGCCAAATATTTCACGGGCGTCGGCGACGCGTCGGCGATTCTCTCAGATCGCGTCTTTGATACTTTGGTACTCGCGTGAACGAGCACGGATTTGCCTCCGATTTCGGGCATTTGTCGGCGATTTCGCAAAACCTGTCGGCGAGTAAAAAATCGGGCTAAAATAATAATAAATAAATAATTAAGAAAAAAAATTCTATATATTTCTCCACAAAAATCTATGTAATAGCAAACTTAGCATGTTTCTATTAATCTCTTGTCATATTTTTATTTTTGGGTTTGTTTAAATTAAACATGATTCATATTTATTTATTTATTTTTTTGTCTTATAATCGTTATCGCTCAGAAAACCTAATAACCTAGTGGCTGTTCGTCGGTTCTAAGACAAAAACTTATTGAATATCAGTTAATTTGGTGTACCAAACTATCATTAAGCAAATAAGAATTAAATATCTACCCGTGTTGGTAAGCAATTTTTTATTTAGTGTTTTCATAAAAGCCTTATTTTTATGAAATTTTCGTGACAAAAAAAACACATGCGGCTAGACTAGGATTATACCATTAGATAGCGAAGATAGCGAGTGTAGTGGTACAGGCCAGGTACACAGAGCGACAGAGAGAGAGATGGGGGAGCCGGATTTAAACGCAAGCGCGTTGGTTAAGGTAGGAAGACACTGCATTTTTGCATCATCGGTCCCCTCAGAGAGAGTCTTCTCAAAAACAGGACAAATAGTCACAGAGAGGAGAAATCGCATTAGCACATCCAAGCTGAGGCATCTGATATTTCTGAATGCCAACCTGCACTAAAGACTAAAGTGTTATTATTAAAGTTTTATTAAAATCTGTGTATTTTTTTTTGTAACAAAAAAAAAAATGCATAAAAATAAGGCTTTTATGAAAACACTGAATAAAAAATTGCTTGCCAACACTCAAACCATTCACAATTGCTAAATTGGGCTAAAATAGAACCTAAGGGAGTCGAGCCAAAAGAGACGAATCTTTGAAAAGAGCCGAACTTCCCATCACTACTAGAGTGAGCAGCAGCCGGCGGCCTAGAGTGAGGAACGGCCGGCGGGCTTGTGGCAACCACATGTGATGACCCCGGACTGGATTTCGTCCATGGAGAAAGCCGATCCGGCGATTCACGGCGTGAAGTTGATGTATTTCCTCAGCGACCAGCACGGATCAGCTCCAGGCATGACGAAGCGGATATCGTTCTCTTTTGGAAGGCCAAACAAAGTAGTTTCACTTTCACAACGAAACACACCGTGTCTCCACGACATGGCGGCGGCAGCAACAATACTACAGTGAGAATAAAAGTTGCACCTTCTTTCTTTGCATGAACATTTGGGCGGTGTTATGCAAATCTTCCCACATCGTGACGTAGATATGTGGGGGCGTGTTAGAACGAACCGTTTTAGGTAGGCGTGGTTGACTCTTTTATAAAGAATATCTCTTTGGATTTGAGACTTTAGTCTTTGCAACTTTACAGATCTTCTTTATGCGCCAAGAGCTTGTAACACTCCAAAGAGAAAGGAAAAATTGAAATCGCATCATATGATCCCTTTAATTTACATAGTTATTCAAACAGCGAGTACATTATGGAGAAAGCAAGCAAAGAACATTTGCGTTAAAGAATATTATCACTGACTTCAGTCTGGCCAGAGATTAAGCACTCAAAATTCCTGTTATAATCAATGAAGCTGTCCATACATTGTATGATAAATTAATCTCTTACTAACGTAATTCATACATCTGCACTTTGTTGCTTATGATGAGAAAATTTGAATGAGATTAATTTAGCACGCCCATGCAAAAACTCAGCAATGACTCTGATTGGCCATTGTGTTCATAAACTCAACAGAATCATGTGTGATTGGTTATAATGTGCAACGCTGTAAAAAATTGTGATGCGACATGAGCAGGTCTAAATTTATTACAGCAATCAACACTTCATTTAATTTTCATTTTCCTTAGTTTCATGTTTTATAGTATTTTTTATTGTATTATAGTTTTTTTTTGAAAAACCATAGTGGACCCCCCAAGTTCATTTTTTTGGGCTTTATGGGGGGTCCCTTAATGCTTATGGGAGGTCTGGGACCACCCCCCATCCCCCCAGTCCCCCTGCTACTTGACAGCAGAGATTTTTTTAAAACCGTGCTTGTGTGGACGATACATTTAATTTAAATGAAGGAGGTAAAACTATGTTTATAAAAATACCCGTGTATGTGTGAACTAGGCCTTAGTCTCTTATACTCTAAAAAATGCTGGGTTATTTTTCTACCCAACTGCTCGGTTGAGCCTGTTGGGTTGTTTTTCCAGTGCTGGGTAGTTTTTGTGTTACCCAGCCATTGGGCTGGGTCAATATAGTTTAGTTGGGGAAAGGATTAAAAAACGACATTAAAATACAGTGTATTTCCTGAAGATAATGTGGTTCTCAACCTTTTTGCCCCCAAGGCCCCCTATAAGGAAATATTCCAGGGCCCCCACACAAGACTTTTTGACCTCAGAGAAGCATAAAAGTGATTCAAAACAGCTTTTGTCATCGCATAAATTCCCATTCATAGCAAACATATTAGTGTGGAGTAACACATCTAATATCTCAGGAGGAGAATGTGGTTCCTCTTATGGTTCTACATAGCACCATTTGACAAAGGTTCTGTATAGCATCTTTAAAGATAGGTGCTATATAGCACTTAAAGTGGTTCCCCTATAATTGCAAACCAATTAATCACTTTTAGTGCTATTTAGCACCATTTTTTAGAGTGTAGGCTAATAATAACACGGAGAGATTAAAAATAAATAAAAAAAGTTTCCATGGATCTAGTCTTTGCATCTGTTTATTTTGTTTGATATTTGAATCAGGTCTAATCTGTTGGAATACAATTGGCTCGGGTCCTAGAAATGCGGTCCTGAAACTGCTGCCTCCGTTATTGCAGTAATGTAGTATTGAGGCCTCCCCGTGGCTTTGTTTCAGATAGTTGGATATTTGAGCTGAGGGTGGAGTGATTAGGAGAACACGCCTCTTCTCATTTATACAACTTCAAAGAAGAGACTTCAGGAGTCGGGCAGAGGCACGCATAAGGGCTTCGCTAACTTCAACTAACTCATTTTTATTTCAATGGTATTTCCTCCTTAATTTTCTGGACTTACACAACCGCAAAAATGGCTCTACCGTACTCCCAAAGAGTAAGGACACTGAAGACAGTGATCGTCGCGGAACCGAGCACACAGACTGTCTTCACATCCACTCCTGTCGGGATGAGCGAAGGTTCGTCGACTTACCGAACGGTAAAACTCGCGGGAGCTCAGCTACAGCCGGTCCAGTACCTTAACAGCCAAGTCGATGCGGGAGCTCAGCAACAGCAGCTCCAGTACATTAACAGCCAAGTCGATGCGGGAGCTCAGCAACAGCAGCTCCAGTACATTAACAGCCAAGTCGAGGCGGGAGCTCAGCTACAGCCGGTCCAGTACCTTAACAGCCAAGTGGAGGGGAACGTGATGTACGGTGGTGCGCGATACCTGGTGCCTATGCAGCAGCGGCGGCCCGCGGAGTCAGTCATGTACCTGAGTCAGGCGCCGCGCGTCATGCAACCTGTGTACTTCCAGAACGTTCAGAACGTTCAGCCCGTCAGCGCCGACGAAACCGATGTCTACACACAAGTAGTGAGTGTTTATTTTTGCTTCTTTCCTTACTTTTTGTGTTACATTAGTATCCAAAGGCTACATGTCATTAAAATATAATTTAATTAATTAATATATAGTATTTACAATGTAACTGCTTACAGAGTTCCAGGTAGTTTGGAAAAGTGGAAAAAATAACCAAAATTGGCAAATGAAAAGATGGTGCTGATAAGATGCTGTCCTCGTGTCAATACAGCTGTATTAAAATTAAATGTCAGCACATAATGTAATTCAAAAGTTTTAGGTTTCTTTAGCGCCCCCCATGATCAGACATGATTGTAGGCCTACTGTACCAAGTTTTATGAAAAATGACATTGCGCTTAGAAGATACAGATCAATTAGTCAATATGGGTCACACCTACACAAAAATATTTATTTAATTAAAAATTCAAAGTGTCAGATATGACCAGGGTTTAAACTGGGCCGGTGTTGTGCGAATTCTGCACCCCTGCCAGATTATGCACCCCCTCGTTGAAGTCGCTACCTGATTGCCTAATCCCAAACCCACCCCTAATCCTAACCCCTCCCCCACACCTACTCCTAAACCTACCAATACTAGGGGATGCATAATCTGGCAGGGTGCAAATGTCGGCACTACACCGGGCCGTCCGGGGCTGTGCCCCGGCACATAGACTCCAGGGCTCGACATTAACGCTTCATTAATGCCAGACAAGTAACATGATTAAAACATCAGTAATCAAAAATAACTATGTAAACACCAAAACGCAAGTATTATTCTGATTTTATTATATTTGGAGTAAGTGGCGAATAGTGGATATAGTTACTGTATATAATGCATCTATTGACAGTATAAGGTTGCGCTGCTGAGGCGACCAGCCGAATCATTGCTAATTGATTCTAAATGCTAATTGGTGAAGTCAAAGTTTCATTAGCCCATGCATAAACATCTGATGAATCTGCCGTTTGAACAAATCGTTTGAATGATCGACTCAATGACTCACTCATTAAACGCTCACTACTGGCACCTACTGGCTTTTTAATTTCGTTGAAAAGTATCATTTCCACCATCATTTATTGTTTGTATATTCAAAAATATTTAAAATAATCTCCTAATATTATTTTACGCGGTTGTATTTTTCAGTGTAAATGATTTAATTTGATAACGTATTGATAATCACATTATTATAATTGAATTTATAGATCAAATGTAAGAATTTGAAATGGAAGTATTAATGAGATTAGTGGGAAAAGAATAAATAATTAGCAAAAAAACAAAACACACACATAACAAATCTCAATTTAACCCCTGGATATGACCATTTAATATGCAGTCACATTTTTAAACCTTACTAGCTAATTATAACTAGACCTACATCTCTCAGTAAAATTTGGTCTACAGCCTATGATGCTATTGTATGCTAAATTTTATGAAAATTAGCCTTGTAGAATTTAAATGTGTTGATGTGAATTGGAGAAACTGGGGTTGGTTGACAATGGTTGACAATACGCATGGGCTATACTGTATCTTAATTACGGTATTGTTTAGAGTTGTAAGTGCAAATAAATAAATGTTTGTTATCTCTAGCAGAGGTTTTGTATGTTTGTTTCAAACATCTAGAAATGTAAATTCTGTCTTCCGAACTAAAATTCCAGTTTCATCATATTTTTGCAATGAGCGCATTAACACAATAAACCAGAGTGGTATAGACTTTGGCAAAAGTCAGCTATACAATGAAAATAGATTTTAACTGACAGATTGAACGTTTAACTGTTTCAATTTTGCTGAAAAGCCTGTAATATGCTGTTTAAAATCAGGTTCTGCTGTGACAAAATGCCCCATTTGATACCACACCCTACTATTAATCAGTGTATGTTTATTGAACTGTATCTTTTTTTTTTTCTTTTTTTTTCTGAGCAGTAGTGGTGGACATGTTCAATGGTTTATTTGTAGTCAACAAAGTTTCTGTTTATTCACTGGTGTAAAAAGCGTGGCAACTAAAAGCTTCCCTATAAATAAAACATACAAAATTATAAAACACTTCCCTGTATATTGCCTACATTATACATCAATTAACCTAGGATGTTTGATCATGTTATAATTATAACGTATAATTATTATAACATATAATAATATTATTATAAATATAGTCTTTTTTCCTTTGTACTATATAATTGTAAATCTGAATTTATAATAGACACCAAACATACCAAAAACATGAAATCTTTTAAGGATACAGGTTACAAAAATTAGTGCACAGTGCAATTTATACATATATATTATATCATATAAATGGACTTTTTAGCACAAGACAATGCATTCAAGAAGCCCTTATTCATTTATGTTTTCTTCTTCTGTATTCAGAACATAAATGGACAAACATCTGTCTTCAGCCAGTTATCCAGTCCAGTCAAGAGCTCTGAACCATCTGAGGTAATGAAATAACATTTACCGTGCATGCAAACAGGCACATATAATCAGTAATGTTTAAGGCAGAAAACTGTTTGTATTCGCTCATATGGTTAGCACACAAACACACACGTTATGTTACCCTTGACTTGACTTTCATGCCTTTACACGAGGTACTGTATTACACACACTTTCTTCTGGGTTTGTTCATGCCTCTGGCTTGTGAGCTGAGCGGGGAAAACAAGCTTTAATGTAACCCAGGCTTTAGTGTGTAGTTGCACGCACATGCTAATATGACAACAATTTATGCGTTTGAGCACAAGTGCAGTACCTGCAGGGTTTAGGGTGTGTCAGACAGAAAGAATGGACTCGTTAATTCCCAGAAGAGACCGTGTGTTAACGCCCATTTAGATTAGACCCGACAATATTCATAATATTGCAAGGAAAGTGTTAAAGGGAGTTGCCCTTTAATGCAACTGTTGCTGTCAACCAGCCTGCAGGTGATAAGAAGATGACAGGTGTATGTTGGAAGACCTTAAATGTGTACTACCAAACAAACACCTGGCTTTATATGATGAAATATTATTTTAACATGCCACAGAGCTGTGATCACACTAATAACATTTTTCAAAAGTCAGTGTACTTGTTTTTATATGTTGTGTGTATCTAAATATGAAATTAGGCTATGAAATGTGGGAAACAGAATAAGATGTCACTCTAAAATTTCTTTTTTTAATAAACAAGAAATCACTAATAAATTTCAAAATGTGAAAACAGACTCTAAACTACAGCTAAAAACCTACAGCTATGAAATGTATTTTTGTATTGTGCCAATGTCAGTCTCTGACATTTATACGTTTCCTTCATTCAAGAACGTCTTTTCACTGTACAAATTCGCAGGTCTTTCAAACATAAATGTTGGTACGCAGCAGAAGACAAAACATGGTTGCATTCATTTTGTGAGTTTCTAGCAGCTTTATTTTTAAGATGGTCTGTATAGGTGCTGAAAATTCATTCTGTGAGTTTAACCAATGGACGTGAAGTTCTAGTGTGTGTCATGTAAGGTTGAGTCATCAGCCTTTCATGAAGCAGTTTGAAAAGCATTACACGCAATGATTTAAAGAGAGTTGTCATAGGGTTGTGCTTGCAGACATGCTGGGACAGGAGTTGGGAGCTTATCGTCAAGTTTCGTACATCAAGGAGAATTTTGTTGTAATTAGGCGTCTTGCACTCAAACACACTTGGGTTGTCTTAAATTTTAGGTTTGTAATGTGAGATAGCATTAAAGGCTGGTCAGGAGTTTCACATGATGTTATTATGATGTTATTGGTCTGACACATGCAGTGATAAATACAAAAATGGACTTGAGTTCCTGAGTATTTCATGAGAAGAAAATGTAATGCATAACTTAATGTTGAGGTTCTTTTATGTTGAAATACAAGAACTGAAGCAACTATTGTGAAGTAGACTCATTGGTCAGCAGCAGATGTGATATAATACAGAAGTAATTATATTTGCTGAGGTCAGACTTTGGTTTAACTATGTTAAATAACAATTAATAATCAAATATTTATGTGCATTTCATACTAGTTACTCAGAAAATAGGATCTGAGCTCATGAGTGGAGACATTTGTCAGGAAAGAATGAAAATGTATTTAAAATGATAAATAAATTAATATATATATATACAAACCCAATTCCAAAAAAGTTGGGACACTGTACAAATTGTGAGTAAAAAAGGAATGGAATAATTTACGAATCTCATAAACTTATATTTTATTCACAATAGAATATAGATAACATATCAAATGTTGAAAGAGACATTTTGAAATGTCATGCCAAATATTGGCTCATTTTAGATTTCATGAGAGCTACACATTCCAAAAAATTTGGGACAGGTAGCAATAAGAGGCCGGAAAAGTTAAATGGACATATAAGGAACAGCTGGAGGACCAATTTGCAACTTATTAGGTCAATTGGCAACATGATTGGGTATACAAATAAAAAATAGAAAAATAGTGGAGCAATATCAGAAAGGAGTTTCTCAGAGAAAAATTGCAAAGAGTTTGAAGTTATCATCATCTACAGTGCATAATATCATCCAAAGATTCAGAGAATCTGGAACAATCTCTGTGCGTAAGGGTCAAGGCCGGAAAACCATACTGGATGCCCGTGATCTTCGGGCCCTTAGACGGCACTGCATCACATACAGGAATGCTACTGTAATGGGAAGAGGGGATGCCACACAGTGGTAAACATGGCCTTGTCCCAACTTTTTTGAGATGTGTTGATGCCATGAAATTTAAAATCAACTTATTTTTCCCTTAAAATGATAAATTTTCTCAGTTTAAACATTTGATATGTCATCTATGTTGTATTCTGAATAAAATATTGAAATTTGAAACTTCCACATCATTGCATTCTGTTTTTATTCACAATTTGTACAGTGTCACAACTTTTTTGGAATCGGGTTTGTATATGTATTTGTATATGTTTGTGTGTGTGTGTTTAGCTGACAAAAGACAAAAGTCGAATCCGGTATATTATATCAGTAAACAATTCGTGTTAACTATAGTAGTGGATTGAGTTAGCTATTTTGTTGATTATGGTTTAATATTGCACTATTTTACAGATCAATCCTCTGCCACGAATTTTCCCAAAGTAATTTTTAATTATTTAAAAAAATTAATTTAGCCTTATACATATTTTCTTTAATAAAAGCACATTTAGAAACAGCTTGTAATCATGATTTTATACATTATTAGTAGGACTTGGCTATTTAATTAGTAAGAGTTGGATGTTTAAATTAAGAACTTGAATAAAACCCAATACTTGACTCAGATTTTTTGACTGCTTGACAGCTCATGATTTAGGCTTGACTCTTGCAAAGCAGTGACTTCCTTGGAGCGAAATCTGAATGCAAAACCATGTTAAGTTTCAATTTAATGGAGCAGAGGAATTCCAGTATGTACAAATATAATTTATATTTTTACACGTATGGTCCCTGGGACCATGAGAGCATTTGAACTGGCTGTTTTAAATTCCCAGTTAAGACCTCAAGTAAATTATCTTTCAAATGGAATCTGAAGGACCCAGGATTGCTTGATTATAAACGGGAAAATTACTTCAAAATGTTCAACAATAGTGAAAAAGTTTCTTTGTAATGGAATTCACTTTATTTTCATTTAGAACAATCATCACCTAATGAATAGTTTGGAATTATATTGTTTTATAGTGGCTGATGAGAACTGATCGTTTTTTAAATGTTATTTTATAATGCTAAAAAAGTACCTTCATTCCTTCAATTGTTAAATCTCTCATTTTCTCTGTATCTCTCTTCACTGGCTTCCTGCGGTCAGACACAATTTGAAAACCGAGCTCCTCCTTCCTTTCACTGTAGACCAAAGCAATGACCTGCTGTTCTTACACTGGAACAGAGAGGCTTTTGGCTCACACATTGACCTATTTTTGCAGACAGTAAGGTATTGTGGAAAGTCAAAGCCAGAAAGGAAATACAGTCACAGATTTAGTAGCAATGATTGTCTTCAAACAGTGTCTTCTCATAATTCTTGCGAATTGGCTTATCAAATTTTTTTTTGTTCAGCTATGTATTTACATCAAAGTGAAGGGACACTTAAAGCTACAGTTCCTAATTTTTGGGTAATTATTACATGATAAAAAAAATTCCCGCTCAACCATATGTACATTTCCAGAACCTGTTTGTCAAAGTTTAATGACTTAAAAATGTATACATTATTTGAAAAACAAGAACACAAGAATGTGTCCTGTGTGAATGGATTTGGACTCAGTCTTGGACTTTACATATAAATTTGATGAAAAGGATGAATCAAATGACAGCCCTAATTATGATTTCATGCTAAATCATTTTTAAAGTTAAAACCCCTACAGCTGATTTAAACGCCAAACACAAAGTATTTTTCAGATGGTGGGATATATATAAATTTTTTGTATGGATCTGCTGTAATGTTTATTTTAGGATTGCAACTTAATGAAGCACTTCCTGCGCATTCCTGTGCAGAGTTACTCAATGCTGTGTGTGGGAATCGAGGTCACAACATTACAACCGAATGGTATTTGCATATAAGAGAGCGTTCGATTTACTTCCTGAAATCTTCTGTGCATTGACTCTTGACACACACACACACACGCGCGCACACACACACACACACACACACACATATATATATATATATATATTTACTAATGCAAACTCAGTAACTCAGTATGCATAAGTGGGAATTTGTTGAATTTGAGTTCTAGGGATACTACCTCTAGTTTCTGAGTGAAACTAAACTCTTTTATGTGCCCTTGCTTGCTATGTGCAGAACCTGCTGCGACTTGTCAGACGCTAAACGTAACTAATGTTCAAAGTACGTTTCAATCATTGATTTTTTTCTTATCTTTCTAATCTTGTTAGAACACACCCAGACACAGTCTTTAATTCACACAACTCTACACAACTCACACAACAGACCTGCCAACCTGTATGCATTTTGCGTAGCGGATGCGCATTTCGTTACTTTACTTTACTTTACTTCACTTCTATAGCTGTGAATGGGAGACTACCACAAATATATTTTTTGCATTCCCATTTACTCAAATAGCAAAAGAAAATCATGCAAACATTATCATGGAGATCATGATAATGTTTGCATGACTTTCAAAAAAAGGAAAAAATTTACCGTCACTCCTATAGATGTGTATTAGAAACACCCTTGCATTAGCATTAACTAGTTTTTTGTCATTTGATGCAAAGGTAATATAATACAAATTACAGTGTTATAAATGTAAAAAACGAAAATTAAAAAAATGCGTCATTACAGTCTTGTGAAAAGGGAAGCGTTTCTAAACCTGTTGACCAAAAAAATAGATCATTAACATACTCAAATGTTTGAAATATCTTCCTTTTGTGATCTGAGGTACGTTGCTTCTTATCACAGAATGAGGCAGAAAATATATTCTATACTATAAAAAAAAGGCAATGTCGATTAGCAATGGATTATAATATACATTATGAAAATACCCAAGATGGCTTGAAGAACACAGATAAACTATACATTGTAGCAGTCGAGTCGAGTGTTTATTGTGTTCATGTTCTGTAAAGCTGCTTGTGAACATTGTGTATTGTGAAAAGCACTCTACACCTAAATTTGAGTTGACATTGAAAAATCAGAGCAATGCAGATAATTAAAAAAAATGCTTATATTGGCTGATCTTTTTGTGCATCTCCACCACTACTAATGCTTTCTAGCAGATGACAATGTACAGAATGCAAAATTTGCATAAAGATCCTTCCATCAACAGCTTTAGTTGCTGCATGTGAGATTTTTTTGCCGCTCCCCAGGAGGCCTTAAATATTTATGGTCCATTTAGCTCCCGGCATGTAGTTTTGTTTGCTGCTTTTAAGAGTATTGTTAGAGAAGTCACTCAGGAGTGTCTGATCTGGATCGATTCTGCGAGGTGTGGACTGGCTGATGTTTCTCACTCACAGTCTAGTGTAAAGAATTTACACATACTTGAAAAAGTTAACCCTCATTTCAAAGCATACATAGACAGAGGTTGTTGGCTTCTTGTGAAGTTTCCTGTTCTTATGTAAGAATCACATTTTGCATGTTTCAAGGAAGAGCAGCGTTGATCCTGTAGCTGAGTTGTTTGCTTAGCTGATTAGTTGGTTACAGCATAGCATCTTTTGTAACTCAACTAAAGTTTCGCACTCCCACTCAAAATATCCTGTCTTCACATCCTTTATGCCCTTTTCCAGTCGGAGTTGGTGGAGACTTCAAGCATTCAAGAGGAAGTTGTGGACCTGAGAGAAATAAAGAATGGCCACTCTGAGATTAAGACCGAGATTATCGATGTGGAACCGGTCGCCAAGATGGACAACCGCTTCTTTGGTGAGCTTCTTGCCGAGGTTTACCGCAAGAACTCAGATATTCACACCTGCATCTCCGAGCATGTGGCCAAGATCCGCGGAAGGTAGAGTCGCTTCTCTTTATTTATTATCAACAATCTAGCACATCCTTCAGAATTGTAATGTTTCGTTATTTCATAATAAATACATTTTCGCAAGCTAATTTATATAATGTCCTCCCTCAATTACAATTAAGGCTATGTCCACACGAAGCCAGAGCTTTCCCTATCCAATCTCTTTTTTTCTCCTCGTCTCAAGAAATGTCTGCGTCCACACGAAACCGACACAAAACGATGTAGTATACATGCTAGACAAGTATGTGGCGCTGTTATTCTGTCACAGAGATGCACTAAAAACGGAGAAGAAGACTTGGACTATGCGCATAAACCTTGCCGCGGTTTACAAATGAACATGGAACAATACATTTATTAATCTGTGTTAATGTTAGTTAATAAAAAGACAATCGTTCGGTGTTTGTTCATGTTTTTGTTGCTGTGATGTAGCGGTGTCTGACTAGGGGCTAGACATGGGCTGATGACGTCATCGTTTCAGAAAATATATGGATTCGCTGTCCACACGAAAACGCAAGGGTGGCGTTTTCAGATTTATCCACTCTGGGACCCGGTTTCAAGAAATATCAGTTTCACTCTCCCAAAATGCTGGATTCGTCCGGACGAAACGCCTATACGATACAAAATGTATGCGTATACAGCTAAACGCATCTCCATGTGGACGGGGCCTAAGATGTAGTTTTGTTGTGCAAATGGCTTGTTCCATTCTTAACGAATTTCTCTGTGTGTTTTAATGGAAAATTTAAGTTGAAGATTTGCACGCAGATAACCCTAAGCAACCATTAACCCTGTCAATCAAGATGATTGAGGACTTGACACATATTGAGAAGACCTATTACAGACCATTATCTAAAAGGAAATCTCATCTATTTACTTAATCTGCAGTCACTTTCTCAAATGACTCATTAGACTGATTAAAAACCTGAAACCTCTACACCTCGTCCAAAACTGTCTAAGAGCAATGCTCAATCCAGTGATTCATGGCGAGTTAAGAGGTTCTGTATTTTACACCTTAGAAATGATTGTGAGAACAGCAGCACCTCTGGACGCCTCTGCTTTAAGGCTCTCTTTTTTATTGACTCATTCATATTGTTCTTTGTCTCTGCAGGAAACACCTCCTGGACCCCACCATTGACTACAAGGTAGGGAGTGGCAAATTGTTCAGTTCCTGTGAAGCTGGCTGAAAGTTTTCCATGTTGCATAAAGGATTTCAAGTTTCAGTTGGTTAATTCTAAACCTAATTGTTATGATTAGCTATGAAAATGGGATTTTGCATTTAGCATTTTTTGACATTTGTTCAAAAATAAATTTAAAATGTTCATACACACAGTAACTTTAATGCACTTTTTCTATGATGAGAATGTTTTTAAATTTCATTCATTTTATTTTCATATTTTTGTTGGGGCATAAAGTTAAAAAATATCAAGGTGATAGAACTGTCCTGATATCATAATGAAGAAAGAAGAGACATTTAAATGAAATTCTCGATAAGAAAACCTTAAGTAGCTCGTAATACATAATCTATTATTTATTGCTATTATTCTATTTATTATTATATTCTTTTTTAGAAAAAATACAGTGAATCTGTTTTATATGCATGTATACAAATGTTAAACTTTTCAAAATCTAAGTCATGTGATGCAGAGAATGTGTCAAAATATCATGTGATGTAACTTCCCAAAAAAACATAATATTTATTAAGCATTCAAGATATAAAAAAAAAGATTAGGATGTTTACACTTACATGTATTGTAAATGTAATATAGTAATATAGTTGCTGCAGCTCTTTGTTAAAGAATATATACACTTAAGTTTTTAAACACATATGTCTGTCTGTATGTGTGTGTGCAGGTGGAAAAAGAAGAAATAGAGAGTGTCATTCCTAAAGGAGTGTCTGAACTGACTAAGCAGCAAATCCGCTACCTGCTGCAGGTGAGAGCTTATGGACACATTATGAATGTCTGCCCTGTCCACTCCCACTCAGCCCCACCCACCTTTCAGTACACCTCACCCTCAGACACCTCTCCTGACAGCAGTAGATTATTAGTTTATGAGACTGTCCCAGGAACATGTTCCTCCAGGCACAACAGATCCTCACAGTTATTCTATACATACTCTGCGTAGATATACGCAAAGTCTTTCAACATTATAAAACTGAAATATGTGCGACACATTCAACTTTTTTTTTAAATTAGTTTGATTAGATTAATTGCTGTCATTTGTTTAATGTTTTTGAATGACCCCAAAATTTTAAATACTGAAAGTACATAGTTTCAGACACAAAGTAAGTGTCTTTCTCTCATCTAGACTCGTATGACGGCTGATAAAACCATGCGTCTGTTGATGGCCACGTTCAGCAGTCTGCGAGAAGAGCTAGTGCATATGCAGGACGATCTCAGGGTGAGTATGATTATTCTACCACTAAACCAGCCAAAAGCCTCCTGTCCTGTAGAAACGGTTCCCAGTTTCCAGTGTAGATACGGTGATTAAACATATCAGGTTCTGCCTCGTGGGCGTGCGTTTGTTTTACAACCCAGCTTTCAGCTGACCTTGTCTTTTTCAAGGTGTGATGCGTGTAGAAACAGATTCGAAGGGATGATGTAGCAGCTACCAAACAGCCCTTCAATATTTCGTTGGCTTTATTTAGTTGCGAATAAAGCTGTTTTACACGAAATGTTTTCTTTTATACTTGGGAAAATTACAAGACTTCATATGTCAACTTTAATAATATGCATCTTGTTTTTGCAAGCATAAATTCAGATTATTGTGAGATATCGCAAGTATATCACAAAAAAACAACCTGCTTTGTTGGTACAGCAAGTGGTAACTCTTCCAGAGCTTTCATTTCCTGTTTGACTGAAAAAAGCTTCTGCTCAGTTAAACATAAACCATCATCGTGTCACCGCAAATACATGCACATCTTTTCAATCGGTAAGCCAACATGGTGTGGCCAACAGCTATTGAAGACTACAGCAACTACGTCAGTGTCTGAGTTAGTCATTTTCACTAATTATTCACTCACTTAAATACTCAACTGAAGTTAATTACTTATAATTAAGCTTTGTGTGCAGTTGATTGAAACAACATAGAAGTACACTGAACACACTTGTACACTTATGCATGCTTCCATGTGCCTGTGATATCTGACTGGTCGTGATTGGTCAGTTGTGGTCTTCTGCTGTCATATATTTTTATGTTATGACAAGGGCTGAATGATGTTGGGAAATCTGATTGTGATTTATTATTATTATTATTATTAAAAAAAGTGATATATCAGTATGCCTATAAAACACTACTACAGTGCAACAACTACTACTAAAGGTACTGTAAAATAAAATTATTATTATTACTACTACTAAAGGAAATAATTTTTACTGTTGTAATATTTTACTTGAATTTTTTTAATATTTAAGAAAAAATAATAATGTAGTAATAATAATAACAATGTTATGTTACAAAACAACTGTAACAACTTTCATTTTTGGATCTTTTAATTTCTTAATTTTCAAACCTTAAACCATCAAGCTTTTATTTTGCTAGAAAACCACAGCGAGCCCTCTTTTGTTGACAACAGCCAGTTTATAAGCACTTCTCATTACAAGAAGAAAAGATTGCTGGCGCATGTTGCCTTCCCAAATGCACAGTATAAACGACTAAAACTCCGAGCAGATGCAGAGATGATTTCATGTGGAACAGCATTTACTGTGAACCAAGCCGCTCTGAGACACTGAAAACACTGGATCGTGGAAAAAAATTACAATGATGCGTTTTACTCTAAAGCATGCAGCACATATATTAATGTAATGAAATTGCAGCCTGTGCGATTTGATAAGCCAGGCATTTCGCAATTTCATTTTATTTCGATTAACTGTGCAGCTGTAATTATGACCATTTAGCTGTATATTTCATCATTGTCCCTTCTCACAAAATTTTAATTAAATAAATAAAACTTGAATCAATATTTTATTTAAGTTTTGTGGTTTGTTCAGGGTTTTTTGAAGATATCACCCTGTCATGTTAGCAGACAAATTTGCATGAAACATTTTACCTTAAACTTAAAGTATGGAAAACATTTCTACCTTTTAAAAAAATCCGTAAGCCTATTTTTACTACCTTAACCATGCACAGTGACATGGTTGGTTGCATTTGGATTTATTGTGTTCATTTTATTGTGCAGCGTCTGGAGAGTGAGAAGGAGGAGCTGGAGAGAGATCTGAGCTTCAAGGCAGATCAGGCTCTGCAATATGACAGACTACTGGAGACCGTACGTGAGCACAACAGACAACTGCAGGTAGGGGGCGCCACCATAAAACTTCACTCAATCGCCCTTCGTGGCTTCTGCAAAAAAATACAACATCAATAACACTCATGACATTATATGATAAATGTAGATCCATCTCTGATCTTCATGTCTTTCTTTCTCTCAGGCTGCTGTGAAGGAAAGTAATAACACTCAGCGTACTCTAGAAAGTCAGCTACTGACCTGGCAGAGCAAAGACCCCAGCAAAGACTTCCGCATTAAAGAACTGGAGGGCAGCAAGAGGGCCCTGGAGCAGGAGAACGAGCTGCTCAAGAAGAAGGTGGGCAAATCTCAAAATTAACTGTATTTCAATTGCATGTGTTCAAAAGTGGCCAAAATGATTGACTTTTGCGAATGCAAAAATTTACTTTAGAATTATACGCACTTGCAGCATACTAAGCAAAAATGCTGTTTTTGTAAAAATTTTTAAACTTTTTATTTAAATACTACTTATTTCAAGAACTTTTTGTGAAAGTGTCAATTTAATTCAGCCTGCATGTTGTTACAGTACATGCACAACTATTAAAAAAACCCTTTGTCGTACACATGACACGACTCACAAGAGCAGATCTCCGTTCATTTCCAGACAGATATGAATTAAATGGATGGTTCATTCTTAGAATTATACGCACTTGCAGCATACTAAGCAAAAATGCTGTTTTTGTAAAAAATTTAAAACTTTTTATTTAAATACTACTTATTTCAAGAACTTTTTGTGAAAGTGTCAATTTAATTCAGCCTGCATGTTGTTACAGTACATGCACAACTATTAAAAAAACCCTTTGTCGTACACATGACACGACTCACAAGAGCAGTTCTCCGTTCATTTCCAGACAGATATGAATTAAATGGATGGTTCATTGAGTTACATTCTCTGCTGGCATGTTTCACTAAGCTTTTCATTAAAAGAACCGACACAGAGTCAGTCGTTCATGACGCAAACTACACTGGTAACAATGCATGTCTGTGTGCAGTGAAGTGTGCAGCAAAGGCACCTCAAGAGAAAAATGTTTCATGGACATTTAAACTCAGCACATTGAATTCACACTGCAAACTCACAGCCCAGATAAATCTCTGCGACGTTGTAGTCTGGCTCATCCAGTCCAACTCTGCATGTTATTATATTATGTTTTAGTGTTGTTGTCAAATACAGCTATTATAAGCAGTCTTGTCTCTTGTGTAATTTCTAAGGTCATATTTATTGCATTTATCTCTTCCACAGTTGGCAGGGCAGTGCAGTAGTTCCACTGTCCAAATCAAAACACAGGAGCTGTCCAGAGAGTATGAACAGATGCTGAAAGATCTACGAGAGGAGAAGGACAGAGAACTCAAGAATATGCGGGTAATGATACGTAAATAAGGAGGATATAGGGATGCTCATTTCGGTTAATTTTCCTGACTGACAACCGCCGCTCGTTATCCGAACATTAAATGATCAATATGAGCATCCCTAGGAGGAAACAAAAAATCGAAAAGAGTTAAATGAATGTGTTGAATTGAGATGAATTTGTACTCAATGTACTAAATGATGATGGTGTTTCTAGACAAAACCCACTTAACTATGGTAAAGTTGTTATAATACACAGCCTCAAGTTGCTTATTGCTTTTATAAAATGGTGTCATGACCAATGTGATAAAGACTCAAATGTTCAATAAATAGACAACTGTTTCATTCGGTAATATAGTTAATTATCCATATAGGCTGTGTATGGTTGCCAAACAATTTGTGTCATATACTCTACCGATCAAAAGTTTGGGGTTGGTAATATTTTTGGAAGTCTTTTGTGTTCACTAAGACCGTAATTATCTGATTGACATCACAGTAAAAACTGTAATATTGTAAAATATTATTACAATTTAAAATAACCATTTTTCTATTTGAATATATTTTAAAATGTAATTTATTCCTGTGATGCAAAGCTGAATTTTTAGCATCATTGCTTCAATCTTCATTGTCACATGATCCTCCAGAAATCAATCTAATATGCTGATTTGGTGCTCAAGAAACATTTCTTATTGTTATCAATGTTAAAAACAATTGATTTTTTATATTAAGTAAATAAAAAATCAAACTGAACCCAAACTTGTGAACGGTAGTGTAGAATTCTTCAAATGTCAATACAGTCAATACATATAAAATTCAATTCTATATTACATTCAATGCATTTAGCATATATTTATTTATTCTTTTCTAGACTCAGCTTGTAAAGATCCAGACCGAGCGCACCATTACACAGACCTCTGACAGCGGCTTGGAGATGCGTATCTCTGAGCTTCTGTCCAAACTAGAACAACATGAAAGTGTCATCAGACACCAGGAGGAGGTACGTCAACACTATTATACAGACATAAAATGCTGTCAATGTTGTTTTTAACAAGCGTGCAATGCGGTTGTTATCAGTTCTGCCATGTGATGCGGATGGGTGACATTTTCCCAATGTTTCCTTAAGTTATGGCCGTCATAACCAAAATTTGACAGCTTGTAGTCGTCGCCTTTTTTGGGCCTTTTCTGATATGTAACATATGTTGTCTGTCATTCTGGAAATGCCTCGGCAACAATTTTACATTTAAACCCTGACTTAACTCTGACTTTTAAATTATGGAGCAACAGGATTACAGTTAATCAAGGTTGACTGTAAAACCCAGGAAAAAGGAAATAAAATTAACACATAAAGTGACTTTTTTTAAACCAGGTTTTGAAGTTTTGTGCAGCTAAATTAGTAGATAAACCTAGATTTAACCCAGGCTAAAGATTAATTCAATCATTCATTCTGTACACTATTTTTTGTTGTTGGAAAATTTGATATTTAATAATATTATTTGAGCAGACTATATTGACATGTTTAAGGAAAACAACATGAAGTCTGTTTTTGAACAAGTCATATTTCTTTATGAAATAATTTTCTGTGAGACATAATTTCACGAACAGCCTGATTGGATCACCGTGCGCTCCCTCTCAAAATAAGGCTTCAAATCACCACATTGCATCTGCACTATAAGCAAGCTGCACAGTTGACACAGGAATTGTCACTTGCGCAATTGAGGCAGTGAAGCATCATCACTAAGTTTTGCCAGTGTTTAAAACCATTCACTCTCGCGCGCTCTCCTAGGGAATGGTATGCTCATGCACACTCAGAGTGCACACACATAAGGCCGACTCACATACAGTCAAAAAAAAATTTCAGGGGACCTGTTACCACAAGTTAAATATATGCATGGTTGCAAGTTAAAAATTCAAATTTTATAATTTAATCAAACCTTTTAAGTTGCAATCATTATTTTGTAGGTTCAGGTTGACATAATATTGCTTGATCATTACATTAAAGTAATATTGTGTGTAATTTAAACTCAAATTTCTGCGTTAATTGAATTTCTTTAACTCAATAAATTGTCTTGTTAACTTTGGAAATTGGGTAGTGGATTTCTAGTTCACAGCCGCATCCCAGTTCCGTGTTCGGAAAGGAAATTAAGTGTACTAAGGAAACCCTAAAGGGAATAAATAGCCTACGAGATGGGAGGATAAAAAAACTAATATTTCAATGCTTTTTCTCGCAATTATATCGTTGGGTAAGTATAGGCGACTGTATATAAATTGCGGGCATCAGGGAGCCGCTATTGAAACCGCTTTCGATTGCGCGCTCTCATTTTACTTTCACTTTCACTTTCACTTTTGAGATTCGCGATCACAAGGACTCTATACTATGGAGCGGCAGTACGTACCACACATTTGACAAGCTTAGATGTTTGTCAAAGATGATTAGATGATCTGCAAATCATTCGCCATCGTCCTATCAGACATTTCTCCTTACTCTGTGTATGTGGTAAGTGAACTTTCATGTACTGTAATGCAACAGGTTACCGCTAGCAAGCGGCTAATTCTTTAGTGGCTCCATAGAGCGCGTTATTTGTTTCACGTTTCAGGCACACCCCTAACCCTGTCCCTTCCCCCCCCCCCCCCCCCCCCCCCCCCCCCCCCCCCCCCCCCCCCCACC